TGATTTGCGGCGGCGCGTTGGGGGCTGTGGCTGAGTTGGGCGGCGGTTGGTGCATCACCACCGTCTTCTGCGTGTTAATGACCAGCCCAAAGTTCTCGCAGGCGGCGGAGAATAGGTCCATGCTCCGTTGCATCTCCGCTTCGTAGGTGGTGTTCAGGGCGCAGTCGTCGGCGAAGAGGAGTTCGTGCACGGTAGTTGTGGATACGCGCGATTGGAAGTTCATGCGCCGTTGATTCAGGAGATGACCGTCTGTTCTGTAGGCGATGCGGATTCCAGGGCGTTCGTCGCGGTAGGCGTCCATCAGCATGGCAGAGAACATAAGACTGAAGAGGGTTGGTGCCAGCACGCATCCCTGCTTCACTCCGTTGGTCACTGCGAATGCCTCTGAGACAGCTCCGTTGTCCGTGACTCGCGCCATCATACCGTCGTGCAGCTGACGCACCATCTGAGTGAATCGCTCCGGACAGCCGAATTTCTGCATGATCTTCCACAGTCCTTCACGATTCACCGTGTCGAAGGCTTTCGTCAGGTCCACGAAGGTAGAGTACAGGTGGGTCCGCATCTCCTGGGACTTCTCCTGAAGTTGACGGGCGGCGAAGATCATATCTGTGGTCCCACGATGTCGGCGGAAGCCGCATTGACTTTCCGGCAGATGGCCCTGTTCCAGATGGTTGTTGAGGCGGTTGAGCAGGATGCGAGCGAAGATCTTCCCGGCGATGTTCAGTAGGGAGATGCCGCGGTGGTTGTCGCAGACTTGGCGATTCCCTTTGCGCTTGTATAGTTGCACGATAGTTGCGTCCTTGAAATCTTGCGGGACTTCGCCTTGACGCCACATCTCCTGGAAGAGCGCAGTCAGCTGATCCATCAGTTGGGGACCTCCGTGCTTGTAGACCTCAGCAGGGATTGCGTCCGATCCGGGTGCTTTCCCGCTGGAGAGTTGCTGCACGGCCCTGATGGTCTCCTGGAGAGATGGCGGGAGGTCGAGGTCCACGTTGGTCTCCACTTGCGGCAAGCGGGCGATGGCGGCGTCGGAGATGACGGAAGGGCGGTTGAGGACGCCCTGGAAATGCTCGGCCCATCGCTGTAGGATTTGCGTCTTCTCCGTCAGGAGAGTGCTGCCGTCGGCGCTGAGGAGAGGAGCAGTGCCCTTCGTCGGCGGACCGTAGACAGCTTTGATCGCGGAGAAGAAGTTCTTCCATTCGTTGCGGTCCGCGTAGCCTTGGATCTCCTCAGCTTTGCGAGCAGTCCAGGCGTCCTGCATCTCGCGCAGTCGTTGCTGAAGTTGGCGGCGACTGCGGTAGAAGGCAGCTTTGTTGTCCTCAGTAGGGTGATCTACGTAGGCTTTGTGGAGGCGGTTCTTCTCAGCAAGCAGATTTCTGATGGCGGCGTCGTTGTCGTCGAACCAGTCCTGGTGTTTGCGGGGAGCGCGACCGAGGACGGCGAGCGCCGTCGACTGGACCGTGTCTCGCAGTTGACACCATCGGTTTTCCACGGAGGTGTTCTCGGCAGCGGCGGCGTCGTCGGCGGCGGCAGCGATTGGAAGGTTGTCTAGCCGTTGAGCTAGCTCATTGCTGAAATGGAGACGGTGAGCAGGCAAAGACAACAAAGCAACATTCAGCTTACCTGGGGGTCGCTTACCTTGTGGTCTCCTGCGAGGCTGTAGGCGAATACGCATCTTCGAGATGACGAGGCGATGGTCGGTCCACCCGTCAGCACCCGCGATCGCCTTCGTCACCAGCACGTCCCGCTGATCTCGCCTCCGGACGAGGACATAGTCCAGCAGGTGCCACTGACGCGACCGAGGATGCCTCCAGGTGGCCTTCTCTCGCTCCGGCAGACAGAAGAACGTGTTCGTCAGGATGAGGCGGTGTTCAGCGCAGGCGCGAAGCAGTAGCAGACCATTGTCGTTGGAGCCGCGGAGACCGTGGGGGCCCAGCACTCCCCTCCAGGCAGTGTGGTCTGTGCCGACGCGGGCGTTGAAGTCGCCAAGGACAATCAACTTGTCCGCCTTCGACACAGTCGCCAAGAGGGCATGCAGGTCCTCGTAGAATTTGTCTTTGACGGCGTCGGGGCTGGTCATCGGTGGAGCGTAGGCGCTGATGATGGTGGCGAACTTGCCTCCTCGCCGGAGGGGCAGACGGAGGCTCATTAGGCGGTCGTTGATTCCCTGCGGCAGACAGTGCAGTCGTCCCACGATGTCGGTCCGGATGGCAAAGGCGACACCCGCGTCTCGTCGCTCTGCCTTGGGTCGACCACCCCAGAAGAAGGTGTAGCCGGCACCCACCTCCTCCAGTTGGCCTTGTTCGGAGAATCGGGTCTCGCTGAGTGCGGCGATGTCCACCTTGTAGCGCGCCAGTTCTCGTGCCACTAGCGCCGTCCTCCGTTCCGGTCGGTTGCTCCTCGGATTGTCTAAAAGGGAACGAACATTCCAGGCTGCCAGAGTGAGCGGGCTCACCCTGCCAGTCTGGCGACTGCGGCGGCGAAAAGTAGGAGTAGGAGAAGAAGAAGAATAGGCTGGAAGAGGAAGAGAGCGATTGTTGTTGTTGTTGTTTCGGTTTTTGCTGTTTCGACCGTGTGTTTTTTGTCTGCGGCCACGGCCAGCCTACAGACAGCGTGGTTCCCAGCGATCTTTAGGGCACCTTTTCTAGCCCCCTCCCCCTCGCGGGGGCAGGCAACGCATCCCTGAACAGGGCTGCCCGGTTATCCCAGACGGTTGCCGGACTCCACTATGGGCCACGACTGTTTGTTAGTGAGAGAACGACCCGAATTAGCCTGGGACCTTGGTGGTGGTGATGATGTGATGGAGTGAAGTAGGAGAGAGCATACACACTAACTAACGCTAGGGGACTTAGAACTAGAATGGACAAGCGGACACAGTCATCAGTCAGAGACAAAGTGAGGGCACCACACAAAGTCAAGCACTGTAACACCTAGCTATTAGTAGAGAGTGACATAGACTGACGGACAGACAATCGCAGCAGGCATCGAGGGTGTCGTTTAGCTATTAACAGACAGACTAGCATATAAAGGGCAGGCAGCAAGCGCAGCGTACGACGCGGAACTTCAACAAACAAAAGGAAGAAACAAAGCAAACGCACTTACCTGAGGGGGAACTTACCTGGTGGCCTCCTGCGATGGTCCAGGCAGAGCCTCGTCTCGACGATGTCGACGCGAAGATCCATCCGGCCAGCGCAGACCACAGTACCGTGCGTGCAGGTGCACGCACGGATACCCTCACCTGGTTTAGCCCGCCGGTCGAGACGGTTGCCCGGGGTGTGGCCGCTGAGCAGAGCCCAGCTACGTGGAGCCACAGGTGAGAGTTAGGTTCCAGCAAATGGACGCTAGGCGTAGTCTCACCTGCAAGCAAGTGAGCGACCACTACGATCATCACGTGGACCCACCGCTGACACCCCTACACCCCGAAAACACTGTACAGCATCGCACCCAAATACATTGCCAATAGAAGCGAAGAGACGACTGGGCAGCATTTAGTTGGACAGTATTATTGACCATGAAATGTTCACTGGACACTAATTTTTCTCCGAGACATTCGAAACGGTCCACCTCAGCTTGAGCCTCCTGGCTACAAGTGATTTTTGAAAGAACTCGGGTCTTCCAGACGTTCATGGATAGGCGAACATAATTACCCAGTGCAGACGTCCTAACTTTGTCTTGGTAAATTATTTCTTGGATTTTTCGAATGTCATTGGCGTTTGAGATCCATTCTATTAACGTCGCCACTTCGACCTAATCATTTTTGCGGTCATCGCTAGGCAACTTTACTGTCGTTTTCCCAAGTGTGCGGAGTGGACCCTCGCTGCGGGATATAGCTCAACCCGTTTGATCCATGGACCGATCCTGTCATTGGGTCGTCAAGTGCCTTGCGGACCGATGACTTCGCCAACGATCGTTCGTTGCACTGTTTTTCTTCCGCCCACAATCCTGCCCTCGAGACAATAGAAGTCTTTGTCTCTACGAAAGCAATACACTTACCAGTGGGCCACGAACAGTGATAAACTTAAGCAGTTATTGATCTGGAATGTATAAGTTTCTCCAAGTTTAGAAGGGTAATTCCCTTTGACATACCAAGCAATTCGCTTATATTCCCATGAGACAAGTGGTTTGAATATTACATCGTAGTAGTCATCCTCTCCCAAAAGAATCTAACCCACTCGAGCTGTTCAGTAATGATGGAGCGTTTGCTTTTTGTTGAGTTATGCCACATGATAACGTTTCATTATGATTTTCCGGCCAAATCAGGAGACTTCGCTTACTTTTCGAGATTATTTGATGCCACATGGCAACAGTTGTTTTCATCTTGCCTGAAATAGTCCGGAACGGTCCTTCTTTACGGTCACAAACTGTTGCCCTGTGCGTTGTTCAGTGTATTTCGAATTGTATCATTTTATTTATATCGCAAGCTCAAATGAGTATTTTTTACATCCAGGTGACCGCAGCGACCTCGTAACCGTTTTGGAAGTCTTCTCGAGGAAATGGACTCCGTCGTCTGGCAGAATGACAAATTTGCTTCCTCAGCCTCGGAGGTCGCTCGAAAACGGTGGATTTCAAAATCATTTTATTGGCTTACGCTTAATTTGATTTTGCTTCTGTGGATCTCGGCTGTCCTGTAAGCATGCCCGTGTTTCTTTCTAAGCTTATGCAGGTCGCCCGCAAATGTTCTTGCAAATATTTGGAAGTCAGCGCTGAGGGACTTAGCTGCACACTTTCTTAGTAAGCTTCTTTTTTCTGAACTAATCTTTTCTAGCTTTAAGCATATTTATAATATGCCTCCTGTCATGTTTCTTCCACAGTTTTCAATTACTTAGAGCCCTGAGACCCTTTACTACAAAAGCAAAAGGTTTGTTAAAAGTTACTTGTAACAGTCCTTAGGAACTTTTTATCCACTGTCCACTCCGGACAGAATCTTTGGTCCCAACGTTTTCTCGCCTCTGAAACGTGAGGTCTCGTCCAGTTCTTTAAGCGGGTGTGACATCAAATCATGGATGCAAACCAAAATTCAAAAATCTCCCATTCATCCTCAGTCTTCATGGTCCCCAGGGGAACCCGAGAACCGCAGTTTTAGCGAGTTTTGGTTTTCCACGATGCAGAATGAGCCCCTCGCATATTCTCCAGATCAGACGACACGTACGTTGCTTCCTTTTAAACGACCTTTTTCAGATTTTGGGGCTCTTATCCTTTTATATTTTCTGCCTTTTCTCTATTTGTGCTCAAGTGGTATTTGTTCTGGAGATCTTCTGTGGACATTTTTTTGGATATTTGATTGACTGTTTAGATGAATTTATAATAAAACACTCGGCATGTTTTTCAAACCATTTTTTAAAATGTATGTTGCTTATCCTTCATGTATCCGAAACAGTTGGCGTGCCAAATGGTTCAACCGTGTTACCGGAATATGCGCGTTTCCGCATGTTTCCCAAGTAATCCTCTGTTGTACCATTTACTCGTGCTCTAAATCGTATCTTATAATTGTTGATTAGGAATACGTCTGGCACCCGTTCTAAATGCTGTCGTTCGCCAAACGCGACTTAACAGAAATCCAAACAGACCAATCTAAATTTTAGGAAATACTGACTCTCTTTAGGACGTCATTGTCTTGGCAGAAGAGGTGCTGTGTAGCACTGATCAGTAGATAATTAGGATGGGGTTCATGTTTTAACAGTGACATCGCAGGCAGCTGCGTCACGATCTTCAGAATGAATGAATTCTGTCTTTTTCGTTGGTGGATCCACCCGACAGAACTTAGCAAGTATTGGCCAGTGGGTCGTGAACAGAGATTTTGATATTTCAGTCAAGCGTCCTGTGGACAGTCACGTTATTTTTTTCGAAAGTAGGTTCTCTCTGTATCTATATTTTGCGCAAACCGCGTGGTCTATGAAGCTTACCTCATTTGGTTTCCCGAGACGTATCCTCTGGGCTTGGACAGTGTGCAACATTTGGCACTTCTTCCTGGACCGAACCGCTCTGCTAATGAACCTCAGCTGCTGAGTTCAGAGATGCTTGTAGGGTAGAAACAGTACTAGCATTCCCCTGTACTTTACTTACTTAACGGCTCCCCTAGACGAAGAAGCAGTGATTTTTTTACCTGACTTTGTTAACAGCAATGATGATTACGAATAGAGGACCTTATTTCAGTCCACTCTCTCTCCTCCCTCTCTCACTCGAATCTGCCAGCGCCGCGTTTACCTATGTCATCGAGCTTCAGTTCGTCATTTTTATTGAATACCTCGATCCAAAATTCTGCCATTGGCTTGGAGAAGTCGTCTGCAATGGATAACAGTTGGTCTACTGCCCTAGCCAGACCCCGATGGATTTCTTCCCCTCTCTCTTCCTCACTGGCTTCATTCCAGTATGAACTGTCTCCGTCTTCAGACACAAAGCCCAAGAGTGCTGTTGATGATCGCAGTCTTAACTCACCTGATCCTACTAAGCCTCAGCTTTCTTCGGATCCTCGCATCTCAGAGCAGGATGCACTGAAAGTATGTTTCATTATTTAGGGCCCGACTAACTCCCTACTTAATTTTAGATGCTAGGCCTTATTTTCTAATTAATCAACACGATCGGAATTGCTTTTACTTGTGTTTCTGTTTTCAACGCCCTCTCCATTTACGGATAAGCCTAGCCTATGCCATTATTTATTACCGTTACAAGCGACGGCAACTACAGCGACTTCAATTATTCCTTTAGTACTGGAAAGACAACAGGGTGACGGGTTCCGATTTAGAACGCTGGACCATTAACATTCGTCGTGTGAGTTTTTTGTTTGACTTTTTATACCCATGTTATGCAACCATTTGGACCATGCAATTGAGTTCAGTCTTGCATTTTTTAGTGGCTTCATGGTACCATTGTTCGTCGCGTGGTTGACGAGATAACCTTCGTGAACGCGAAAATCTTGGAAACCTCGGAGGACGCGGCGCTTATTGGCTGTGAGCAACATTTGCCCTTTTTAGCATGTGCTTACTAGTTGTGTGAACTTGTGTTGTCGGTTTCCCCCCGAGAAGAGCACGACAACGTATGACTGACGGCTGCTCTCAGTTATTAATCAACTAACGATCGGGACTACTGGAAGAGAAGAGGCGATTTCCGGGAAGTAGTCACGGAAAGGAGACACGATCGCTGGGACAGGCACATTATTAGCCTAACGCTTCGCATTCTAACTCGAGTCCATCATCAGAGGCAGAGTCAGATAAGGGTAGTGGATTGCCCAGGTGTTACAATATTTATAGGATGTAGTTGTTAGGCCGCTACATGCCTATCAGAGTTGACAACTTCCGGAGGCAACCATGAGGCGCCAGATCAGGAACCCGAAAGCCCCACTGCCACGGCAGGAAACGTCTGGAGTCGTTTACCGGGTCTGGTGCAGTTATGGTCAAAGCAACTACGTCGGAGGAGCTGGAAGACTACTCCGGATGCGGTTGGTCGAGCACGCAGCAGCAGTTAGTGGGGACGACGCCAGCTGTCAAGTCGCAGCCCATTCGACGGGACTCAACCACACATTCAAGTTTGACAAAGCAGAAATCCTTGTTATAGGCGACAACCGTGCGAGCCGTGAACTGCTGGAGTCATGGTTTTTCGGTCCTCAATAAATCAACAAGCGCACTGACCTCCCCTCTCCATACTGGGCGCTGAAACGTAGCCTAGACAAAGTAGTTAGCTGCGAGGAGAACGTGCGGATAACCACTGTCCCCGATATCAATGTCAGCGAGCCAAGTCACCCAAGAGTCCACGCGGATGACGAAATCCGGTAGTCAGCCCCTCGGCGGCATCCGATGAGCGTGGGGACCGATTATCTTGACTGACACACAGGCGCATAGCAACTGAATTGCAGCGGCATACTTAAACACCTGACCAGTCGAGTTGTGATGCGCTCAGCAGCTGCCAACTGTGATAGGCATGTAGCGGCCGAGCAACTACATCCTATAAATATTGCAACACGTGGGCAATCTCTGATGATGAATTCCAGCTAGAATCCGAAACTCCAGGCTAATAAAGCACCTTTTCCAGCGATCGTGTCTCCTCCCCTGAGAGCAGGACTAAATTTGTCCCGTAAATTTCTCTAAACTTTTGACAGAAAAAATTGTGTATCGTCCTGGTCGGTCGTGATCGCGCCGTATGTTGGATCTGACAGATTTGGTCTGAGTGAAAGTAGTAGAGTAAGAGTGAAAGAATTGTCGTTCTGTCTGAAATGTAATGGTTGTTTTTCCTACCTCTGGTAGCTGCCAGGAAACCTTCAGATAGAAGTGGATCTGAGGTCCAGAGTAAACGTGGAAAGCCAAGACTGCATGAACAAGGTGGATTCTGGTGTGTTTTTCGACGACAGCGTTGTAAGGGTGGCAAGTGAATGCCATTTTTACATCAATGCCGTTAACGGAATGAATTACTCCTCTGAGTTATAGTTCGCGGGCTTTGGAGGCTCGTGTTTAACTGCTTGCCTCGTCTGCAACTCCAGAGTATGCCGGGATTTTTGTCTTGCAAGGTTATGGTGTCCACTCAGCGTTGATGAATGCTCTTGTGACCGAAGATCACCTTAAAGATGTCGATGAGCATGTTTCTGTCAACAGTGTCCGTTGTTGGCCGTCAGATTGGTCGCCCACCGAATTTGATGGCCTCCCAGACTGTCAAGCGTAGTCAGGTTTTGAAAGTACCTATTTGAGTAGTGCAGTCTTTCGGTGAAGGGCTTCCCATATATTACCACTTGGGCCGCATTTTTAGGCCTCATCAAAGTGAATACTCTTCCATCATGAAGGTCGAGATCAGTATAAATTTCAGCAAACAAAGACATCATTTAATCAGTTTTCTGCGTGAGCATTACTGTGTGTCATGCATTCCATAGGCGAGGATCCGATTCCCTCATCATTTTCCTAATTATGCTCAAACGGAGCACGGGCAAACGTCCCTTTTGAATAGTCCTGGCATTCATGTTGTCATATCCGGCGGATAAAATCTTCGCCCGTAGTGTTTTTGTCCACCCTGCTTATTTCGAGACAGGATTCTAATCCTATTAATTCATTATCGTTTAAAAAAATTCCCGATGACTCACGCGGCAATCTTTCTGCCTCTACTTATCTGCCAAAATCCATGTAGGCGTCTTTGCCATATTCTGTGATAGAGAAACATGACAGCATATTACAGGTGCTCCTTGTATGCCTCTTCACAAATTACCGAATTCTCTCCGATACAATGAATTTTTGCCTGCATACCTTATTACTGCGCTTTGTGACACCAAATTCGACCACACTACGTACCAGGATTCTCAAAAGTGAGACGAGCATCGTTTTCGGAGAAGAACGTGACTGTTCCCACCCGGCTCTGACTAATTTCCTCAGGCAGAAAATCAGGTTTTCCAGTTCGAGGAGGAATCCAGTGTAAAACTTCCATTAGTGCTCTTTCACAGCAGAAAGCTCACAAACATGCGGCCATGCTCTGCAGGACTAAACAACACAAGAATTCACCTGGATATAATGGAACACCGTTTTTTTCTTACAGTATCCTGCCTGTCTTCAGTAAGCCGGCCTTAAAATATGCCCTGCTTCCGAAAAATGGGCCCTTTGCGTATCCCATGTTTAGAATAACTAGAAAGTTTCAACGTTTCATATACCTTCTACTGATCTTGATTTCGGTCGCCCTATTTCCAGCGTTTCATCACCCACTGCTTTTTAAGAACTTTGGAAGGCACGACTGGGGCCTGACATAAGGTCCGATAAGGATTGTCACTGTTATCTTGTCGGAGCTTGCGTCAGTTCTTTTGCAACCTGCCGTGAAATCTCCGTTACCATTGAGGAGGGAGGGGCTAAAGCACTGAGAATAAGTCAGTATTTAAAGCAGGCATACATAGCAGAATTTATTTGTACTGACAAATTTCGAGACGGCATATCAACTGCAACCTCTCGCTGCAGTTGCGAATGCTGGGTGACCTTTGTTGCCTGTGCAGTGGCGGTCGGTTGACCCACCAGCTCTCCCAGTCTTTCGGAGCCGATTTTTCTGCCATTCAAAGCAGTGATTGAAGGCATGCTTATAACGCGACCGAGCTCGGCTGGACATAGAGCTGTACGTCTCTAAAGTTTCATATCCAATTGTTGTGACGCCAGTGATCGATCCAAAAGGTCCGCCCAGCTTTCTTTGATCATCAGTGATGACCATCCACAACTAATTTCTCCTTCTGTTTGGCCAGTACATGGATACCGTGTTTGCCATCTCACACTGGTCCGCAGAGCATGGGACAAAGTTTTTTCTGCTCTACGGAGAGTTAGGTCCCATGGATGACACCAGTGCATACCACATGCGAAAAAATCCTATCTGATGTCTACTACTTTTCCGCTGTTCCCTAGGCTACCATCTACAGCGGTCCGCGCGAGGATTGGCCTGGGCCAAAGCAGGGGCCCACTTTATTGAGCTGCTCACCCCATAACAAGTCTCATAAATAGGGGGTGCATAGTCGCACGCCTAGGCGCAGGTTTGTGCAACGTCAATTACTTGCGTCCGATCCCGTCTCTGGTCTTTTTGACTCTGTCTTGACACGGGGCCCAGAATGGAGAGGGAAGAGAGACAGAGAGGGAGGGAGTGTGGTAGATGCAGCGCAAGTCTTCTATCACTACAAACTAACTCATGCGCGGGTCACTATCTCTGCGCGCACTCCGTTGTGGGACACGGTGGACATCGTCGGAAACGACGGTCGGACTGTCACTGCTTCCCCAGGATTGCTGACTTATTTCCTCTGAGGAGGGATTAATGAGCGTATGACCAAGCCGTATGTCTTTAAATTTCTTTCACTTTTCCTCAGCGACTACATTGAATACGCTCGAACAACTGGCTTTCAGCAAATACCGCCACATCTCAACCCTTCCAACATTAATCCGTTTCCTAAACTGCACCAAGGACCAGGGCTATCTTGTATCCAGACTGCGTGGTAAGCGAAATCGTGCCACTTGTTTGCTCTTAGTTGCATGCGTTTCTTTCGAGCGCGGATTATCTGAATTTACTCCTCTGTACCGAGTTTACACTACTGTTCTGTCTTAACTTCCTACTTTGGTTACGTTTACAATGACGAATGCAGGCACCTTTTCTTTTAGTTATCCGAATTTTTCTGACGGTTCTCTGGTTATGGGTCCTCCCTTAGCAATGCCTGCACTTATCAGGCGCTCCTAAAATAAACGTAAGTAGGGTTGAAAACCAGAGCTGGTCCGAAGTTCTCGTACTGCGCAAAAGAAGGAGAAAAGTAAATTCGCACCGTTGCCATTTTCAGCAACAGTTTTCGACGTTTACCAAAACCTAATTTATCAGAGGACACCTATATGCATTCTGAGACGGTGCGTAGGCGGTTCGGATCATACACGTTGAATTAAGCCTTCTTTTTGCAGCAAGAGAGTTGTCCACAGTGTACAAACTCTTTTTATTGTCTCCAGAGCTTGCCCGAGGGAGCTTCCTCGAAGAATTTCGTTGGGACGGAGGTTCCAAAAGCACCACCTCTCCATGGAAAGAACATATACCTACCGACACCTTGGTGTGTTTCTTTTACATAAACAACCCTTGTGTAGCTTTACTTCTAATGTTTTTGCGCATTAAAGAATTTCACGGTAACTAAGTCCTGTCTAACCTAATGTCCTCACTGGCTTACATGTTTTTTTTTTCCGTATAGCTTACTAGATTGACTTTGTTGCACCGACTTTTGACAACGAATGAGGGAAAACGATTGATGGTCCCATTGTCGCCATCATCAATGAAGTTAGGCAGTTGCTAGGGCTGCTAGATAACTTGACAATTCTGTGGGTCTGTTAGGTCTAAAAGGAAGATGAGGGACAATTATCTTTTGTTCTTTCATCCTGCTGGTATTCCGCTTCCCCTCCACTAATATGTGCCCAAAAGTCAAACCCGCTCTTGTGGGCCAGATTCAGACTTGCTTTTATTCAAGGGATCCATCTTTGCCTCCCCTTCGACCGGTCTACTCTTGCTGTATATTCAGCATTAAATGGTTGCATTCAAAGTACATAAAGTGGCCCACAAAATGTCACGAGCCTAACATGAAAATCCCTGTGCTGCAGAAGTCGCCCACTACGTGTCCCCAGTCTCATAGGGCTAAAGGAAGAAATGTTTTTTTCGGAAGAGAACCCAGTTTGATTCGTAAATAATTATGTAACCTACTGAAAAGTGGAGATTCAGGAGAGGGCTGTATTTAAAATCACAAACTAATGTCAAATATGCCCGTACACAGCGAAGGGAAGTGCATCAACCGGAGCGCGTAGTCAAAAATAATAACGGATGCAGAATGCCAGTACTAGGTCGACTGTCCCTTCATATGTACTACATTAGTAAGTCTGAGTGATATTACCGACAAAGACAAGGGAGGCTGGAATGGCAATTTCTGGCTTATTAGCCGTCGTCAGGCAGCCATACCCAAGCCCGAAGTGTGGAACACCCGAGCCTCGAACTCGCGACCTGTTGGTTTTGAAGTCGACGCCTCTACTCACCGGGCCACGAGCCCGTTGCCCTGTCGGTTTTCGATCGGGAATATACAATGTTAGGGGGCGCTCACCGATCGTTCATACGGAACTCACTCGTTCCGTTGTGCCTTAAGGGCTCATTCTGCCTATATATCATGCGCCGCTGTGCGGCTGCTGGTTGGGCTCGAGAGAGAGCCCTTAAGGCACAACGGAACGAGTGAGTTCCGTATGAACGATCGGTGAGCGCCTCCTAACATTAGTAAGTCTGTCAGACATCAAAATCTCTAAATGTCTATGGTGGATTGGTCGGTGTAATTATGGAGCGCGAAAGCGAACTTTCCTTGCACTTAATTTCTTTCTGTCCTATGCCAAACCTTTTGATAAGCGCGAAAAGAATTTTAGTGGTATTCGAGTCCTAGTTGTTGGCAGGAACTAAAACGTTCCTCAGACCTCGGGCTGAGCTGTTGGCTGGTGCCCAAAATTGCATTATAATCGTTAACATTAGAATGACACCTTTGAGCGACGAACAAGGGAATTCTCCCACAAAATTATAATGTCCAGTCGCATAGCTGAATTCTCTTGTAACCGAAGGCATCTTTCACAGTTTCCATGAACACCTTTATGTTAATGGTGTCCGTTTTCATCCGTCATTTTGGTAGTTTACCTAATTTGGTAGCCATCCAAACCATCAGACGTCGGTAGTTGTTTAAAATTGTAATCTGCGTAATGTTGTCTCGCGAGAAATCCCCCCATTTGACCTCCTAGTCGCCTTCGTAGACCTGCCTAAAATAAGACCTAATTACTGGCGTGAAGGCTCTTCTGAAAGGAAACCTGACGACTAAAATGCCCCTTAGCAAATAAAAACGCTTACTAGCAGCTTTCCTACTTAATCATGACTGTGAATAAAGGCCAAGTACCTGAAGAGTGTTTCTTGTGCATACTATTAGTGGGCGTATAATAGCAGCTCTAATGTCCGGAGAATAAAGTTGTTCTGCCTTGCT